CGAATTTTAACTGTAGATTTGGAAATGAGAAGGGGCTTTGTGAAATTTGTGTCTTGGGTTCTGACTAACCAGGAAAAAAAGAGTGCTGAGTGGAAACATGCCATGCTTTGAAAGAACAAACAGCTCTGAAGCGACTTTTTTTCCAAGGTCATTCATTACTGGTGATAAGACATGGTGCTATTCTTAGGACCCTGAAACTAAACATCAAGCAAGCCAGTGGAAGACGCCACTGTCATCTCACCCCCAAAATGCTCTTCCAGTGAAATCAAAGATCAAGACAATGTTCTTTTTCTTTTTTTTTAATGGGAGAGGGATAGTACATTTGGAGCTCATCCCACCTACTCACACAGCCATCTCAGTGTGCCAGTTTTTGGCAAAAATCAGCATGCCTCTCTTGCCTCATGCACCTTACTCACCTGACCTCACTCTGTGCAACTTCTTTTTGTTTCTGTGAATGAAGAGGGACATGTAAGGACAGCGATTTGGAGGCAGAGTGAAGAAAAAAAATGAGGGAGGTGCCTGTCAGTCATCCTATTAGATGCTTTTGAAAAATGTTTGCACGAATGGAATTGCATATTTGACACATGCATTGTGTAATAGAGAGTTTTTCTGTAAAAACAAAATAAAGTTGTCCTGTAAAAAAATATAAACACATAGCTTTGAAGAAAATTCTGGTGTGTTTTGGGTACTCGCTTGTACATACAACTCACTAAACCACATATATATTCCTTGAAAATTTTTTGTTAAAGAAAAGCTGAGTTGAAATTGGAGAGTAGAGTTAGATTAGGGAAAACCAGATAATTTGATTTTGAGAACATATTCTCTATAAATATGTTGATGTCAGATGATGTCATGTCAATTTTTACCTCAGAGCAAACTCCATGTGATGGTTGAAGTGCCCAAGGTTTTCTAGGCTGTAATCTTTACAAAGTAAGGCACAAGTCTTTCTCCTGTAAAATTGCCAAAATTTGTTTATCATTTACTTGATTACCTATTGCATCACCAGAACTTGCTCACTCATTCTATATCTATATTCAAATATATAGAGATTATATACATATGGATATTTGTGTGGAAATTTTATATAGAGGTAATTTGATGATTTATGCTAATAAATTTATATATTTTGTAGAATCTTGGTGATCTAATGGTATATGTTTTGGTGACCTAGTTGTTTACATTTTGGCTGCTAACTGCAAACTCAGCAACTCAAGCCACTGGGAGGGAGAAAGATGGGACTATTTACTCCAGTAAAAATGACCATATATTTATTATTTTCATGGCCTCTTTGCTTTTTCAATGACATCTGTTAGTCTAGCAGGCATAGTTCTGGCTTTGTGAATGAGTGCTATTAAAAGTTTTTCCCTATCTCCATCTCTCATTGTTTGTGTAAATAATATCCTGTCCTTTAAGTTTTTTAATCTGTACATGCCAACAATCCATGCATTGTGGTCTAAAAAGCTGTTACACACGTATACTTTCCTTTTCTAAATAGTGTTTAAAATTATATAACATTGGATAAATTAATGTTACTATTAAGAGAATTACCATATGCCCCATAAGAATGATTTACAATGTTCCTTAATAAAATGATAGTGATGTCTCTAAAGTGAACCAGGGACATACATAAACACATTATATTATTTTTGAGCTTTCAATTATTCGTAGCCCTAATCTAAGTACAATTATTCTTACAACTTGGCCTTATTCACTATTTTCCTTCATGAAGAGATCAGTGAAGGTACCTGTGCTACAGTCAAGTGTAGTGAAGAAATCAGAATGTACCCAGCTATCAGAAAGAATAGCTTCTGAAGTCCCTAACGCTTGTCTTAAAATAAGCATCTACTGTGTAAGCTAAGCCCACATGAAAGAATCACACCAGCCTGTGTGATCCAAAAATTATAAATATTAAAATCCATATCCAGAGGAGGTTACAATATCCGAGTTAAAATGCTGAGTTTCCAGTTTGCAGAAAGCTATGAATGACAGTGAAAGTCCAAAATCCATTTGCAGGGCTGCATGTGGCTTTAACCTCTGGTGAATCCCCTCTGACCCTAGACCAAGGCAATGAATAACAGAGGGCTTTGTAAAGATAATTAATGCAAATGTAGCTAGATTAAATTATAACACCTTTTCATTTGATTTCCTTTTGAATAATTTTAATTTTTTTCAGTTTTTACTATTTTCTGCTTACTTTTTCTGTTTTATTTGTCATTATTGAGGTTTCTGTGTTTTACTTTTTGTTTTCAATTATCTATGAAATCCAGGATAGGTAAATCTATAGAGACAGTCCTGGATTAATAGTGTCATAGGACCCTGGCAGGGACTGTTAGCGAAGGCAAACAAGCGGCCATCTAACTGAGAAGCATCAAAGCCCACATGGAAGAAGCATACCAACCTGTTTGATCACGAGGTGTAGAAGGATCAGTTATCAGACATCAAAGAACTGAAAATCATATCAGTGGGTACCCGCTTTACTGACACAACCACTGAAGACAAACGTGTGCATAAGCAAATGTGGTGAAGAGAGCTAATGGTGCCCGGCTATCAAAAGATATAGTATCTGGGGTCTTAAAGGCTTGAAGATAAACAACAATGAGCATATGAAAGAGGAAAATGTATCAAAATTGTTTGTGTTAATCATTTCACATCCCTTTTAAAAAACAGATGAACTATTGAAGTGCATGATATATAAATTAGATGTCAATAAAACTGTTACAAAAATATTTACAGCCTTAGAAACTCACAGGGGCCATTCTCTCATGTCCTAAAGGGTCACTATTTATTAAAATAAACTTGATGGCAGTGAGTTTGGTGGAATTTTTTGGTTATACTTTTTATACTTTCAACACATATTACTTTTTTCTTTTAGATGGCAAGGAAGAAATTCAGTGGATTAGAAATCACCCTGATCGTCCTCTTTGCTATAGTTACTATAATAGCTGTTGCTCTGGTTGCTGTTTTAGCCACTAAGACACCTGCTGTTGAACGTAAGTAATATTGCAAAGACTGCATATGATGACGAAGCTAGGGCAAAATGACCCCACAATTGTTGAATATTAAAAAAAAATTCAGATAGCTCTAAATTAAAAACAAAACAGAATACACATGAAATGAAATACAGGAGGAAAAACCTAGGATAAGAGACACAATTATTTCAACTTTTTCCATTCATTACGCTCCAGTTATTTTAGTGAAGAAATGGAATAAGGAATTTATGCACCCTGATATTAGTGATGTTCCCTAAATTATGGTGTTTGATCCCTTTGTAAAAAAGCAAAGGGCTCAAGACATCAATGTTGTATGATCAAAGCCTGATGTTAACAGAAACAATGACTTGTTTCTCTTTAGGTTTTTTGACACTTGCAAAGAAATACCTGGGAATATCCCCTTTGCCTTAAGCACATTAATTTTTTTTTAAAGGAGAGGGAAATTTTATGACAAAGACAAGAGGACAGTAGAAACATATGTTATGTTTACTTGTTATTGTATTGAAGTGTTTACTTATTATTTTAATACTTTACTCCTAACTTAACATTAAAATATTCTGATCCAGACCATCAAATCAACTTTCTTGTTCTTCATCATTCACTCTAAATAAGAATTCAAATGCACATTTTTAAGCATTTTCGGCTGCTGGCTGTGCCTTGTGTTAACCGCATCCAGTAACTGAGAGTCTAGTACATGGTGAATCTTATCCATATCTGATTAATCAAAAGTTTTTTTGTTTTACGTATAGTTGACCTTTATTTAGCGTTCTCATGCATTTTTTATTAGTATTTCTTTGATTCTTTACCTAATAATTCTTCCTGTCAAAATACTTGTCTTCTCCTCTTTTCTTCTTATTATTTTTTTCTTTCTTTTCTGGTCTTCTTAGGCCACCTGAGTTGTTCCATTGTCTTTCTTTCCTTATTGAGCAGGCACTATAAATAGCTGTGTAATGTGGATGGCCTCTTTATTCTTTTTTTTCCTTTTGATTCTATCTCAAGACTTTGGTGTCTAGTTTGTTTGGAGGAATAGTCAGCAGGGCTCTGCACTGTCAATTTTAGAAATGAATTGGCTCTCTTCATTTTTATGACTAGAGCACGAATGAGTTCTTTTCCCATGTAAAATTAAAATTTAGATTCCTTATATGTTGATAATGTGTCCTTCCAATGTATTCATTGCCTGAAGAATCTGGAAATAATTAACACCAAGTGTTATTTTAATGTTGGTTTATTTCCAGAAATTAATCATCCCACTGCAACTCCTGCTACCACTGCATATCCTCCTGGTTCAGGAAAATGCCCAACTGAGCTAAATGACCCTGTAAATGAGCGAGTGAACTGCATCCCAGAACAATTTCCAACACAGGTATGCAGCACATTTTTTTAGTATCTTATGAGTGCTTATATTATAATACTATTTTAAAGTAATTGTTTAATGCTGATTCAATTACATACATTGATTCAATTCAAGCTATGCATAAAAAGATGAGAACTATTAGGTTACTGAGTTCACTCCAAATGCACTTTAATTCAAATCAAATTAATAAGTAAATTGCATATTCATGTGTCAGAGATACTCAAATTATGAACAACTACAAATAAAATATTGACGAGGTTTTCAATTCTGCCAGTGTTCCACTCAATGTCTCTAAATTCCTCAACTTTTTATATTTGATGTATAATTCTTCTACCATTTCACATAATTTTAATGGATTATAAAATTATTAATGATCCGAGGTGGTGTAGTGAGTACTCATTGGGCTGATAACTTCCAGGCACCAGTTCAAACCTACCAGCCACTCTGCAGAAGAAAGACAGGTGTTCTACTCTGGTAAACAGTTATAAATCTTGGGAACCCACAGGGGCAGTTCTACCTTGTCCTAGAGGGTCGCTTTGAGTCAACAGAGACTGGAAGGCAGTGAGTTGAGTTGAGAAAGTTATTAAAATTTCACAATATTACATACTCATTAAATATAATTCCTGAGATATAAACCAGTTTGAATAATTGAAACCTTAACTGAAACTTAGTTTTAAAAATTCAATATAGTAAACATTTCAGGTTGACATGAATTCAAGGCCATATTTTCATCTTTATACCACCATCTGAAGCTTAATATAGAATTGGCATTTAATAAATACTTCAGCTCTTTTGTGTCATCATTCCAACAAAATACATTATAATTATCCAGAGGATGGACACTTCAAATATATGAACTTACAATAATGTGCATATGAATTTGACAAATCATGAGTCACAGCATCCATTTCTGATATGGTATAATTGATTCAGTAAACTAAATATTTATATTTCTTCCAAATGAAAGTAACAAAAGCATTGGTAATTTATCAGCATACTATGAAGAAAGAGACATATTTTAAAAAAATAAGTGGAACTGGAAATACAGGGAATCCAGGGCAGATCCCTACAGAACAAGTGGTGTGAGTGGCGATACTGGGAGGGTATAGGGCGAGTGGGTAGGAAAGAGGGAACCAATTACAAGGAACTATATGTGACCTCCTCCCTGGGGGACAGACAACAGAAAAGTGGGTGAAGGGAGACGTCGGACAGGGCAAGATATGACAAAATAATAATTTATAAATTATCAAGGGCTCATGAGGGAGGGGAGAGCAGGGAGGGAGGGGAAAAATGAGGACCTAATGCTGGGGACTTAAGTGGAGAGGAAATATTTTGAGAATGATGAGGGCAATGAATGTACAAATGCGCTTTACACAATTGATGTATGTATGGATTGTGATAAGATTTGTATGAGCCCCTAATAAAATGATTTTTAAAAAGTGAATAATAGAGATTGATACATCGGCTAATAGTAAAAATATATGATTCTTTTACATTGTTTTAACAGGCAATTTGTGCTCAGAGAGGCTGCTGCTGGAGACCGTGGAATAACTCAGTTATTCCTTGGTGCTTCTTTGCCCAAAACCATGGCTATAATGCTCAGCCAGTGAAAACAACAAGTACAGGTAAGACGTGTGCTGCGACAATGAGTCGTGATGCTATAGGTGGAACAAAGGAGAGATGTTTGATCTTTCTATTAACGTACAAAAATGTTCCCATTGATTAGGTGATTTTTTTCTCTTCCTGATTGTTATCTTTGAAATCAAGGAATAAAGGGAATGGAAATATTGTTTTTAATATTATAAAGATTTAATAGTTATTAATATTTATATCCGAGGTCAGTCACACCAGCTTTCTTCTTTTTTTAAGGACTTGAAACTCAGTTAAACAGGATACCTTCACCGACGCTATTTGGAAATGACCTTAATAGTGTCCTCTTTACTACTGAACATCAAACCTCGAATCGTGTCCGGTTTAAGGTTTGCCTTTTGCTATTTCTAAAAAGGAATTAAGGTTAAAAGTACCTCACAGTTAACTCTTTCAGCAGATCAAGGCATTTTCCATTAGAGTAATAATATTTATTCCACAGAAAAGGAATAATTTGACAAATTACTTCTCTGACTTTGATGACTCAAATGTAACATGATAGTTTCTCCTGCAGGCATTGGTGGGGAATGGAAATAACATAATGTATTTAAAATATTTATCACAGTGCCTTGGTCTTGAGAAGAATAAGACCTGAATAAATATTTGAACCTTTTATTATTTTAACCACAGTTTATAAGGAAAGATAACTTTACCTTTAAGGTGAGAAAAGCATTAATAGTGTTGCATAAAATGCAACTTATAGTCACTGTCCCTTTTCACTGATAGCTCTTATTCATATTTTACTACTACTGTGCTTAGACTGTAGAGGTGAGAATAACACTATAGCCTTTGCATAGTTCCTTTAAAGCAATAATTTCACAAGAATAAAGACTTTTAAAAGAGCATTCAAATCTTAAGGGTAAAATTTATGAAAAGTAATGAGAATAATGAATTTTTTTCAAAATGTAGTATACTCTAATCAATATTTGGTAACATGAGCATTTGCTAACCACACGTCAGCTCTTCAGAACCACTAGTCTCTCTGTGGGATAAAGAGGAGGCCTTCTAATCCCATAATGAGGTATAGTCTTGGAAACACATAGGGGCATTTCAGCTTCGTCTGATAGGGTCACAAGGAGCCAGAACTGCAGTGAGTTTGGTTTTAGTTTGTCATTAAATTTTATATCAAGACAAATTTAAAATAAATTTTATATGTAGTATTTTGAGTATATAACTTCTGTGTACTTCTTAATATTTTATACAGTTCGTTGTCTTCAAAATTGCATTAAATTTAATGTGCTGCCGCAACAAAAATAGTACAAATAGGTGGTTTAAAGAAAAGAAATGTATTTGTTCACATTTCATAAGAATCGGAAGTAATGGCACTAGCTATAGAGGAAGTCTTATTCTCTCTTGGGTCTGGAAGAAGTTCCTTTTCATCTTTTCAGCTTCTTATCTTGATGATCTTCCTGTGGTATCTTGAGTGTGGTATCTTGTGATAGCTTGGTATCTTGAGTTGCACTGGCTTGCCTCTATGCCTATTATTTTCATTGGCTTCTAGTCATTTCTAATGCATGGAGACCCCGTGTGAGCGAAGTCAACATTCTCCACAGTGTTCTCCAGGCTTTGAACATTCAGAAGCAGGTCGCTAAACCAACGTGTGATGGCACCACTAGATAGTTTCCGCCACCAACTCTGCAGCTACAAATAGAACACTTAACTTTTTGTGCCACCCAGGACTTTTCTGTGTCTATGCGGTCTTTTAACTTTATTTTTTATATCACGCAGAAACTATAATAGAACTTCATTAACATAGCAAAGAAAACAACAATAGCACCTTATTTCCAAACAGATTGAATCCACAAATATGGAGGTTAGAATTGCAACACATGTGGGGGACCGGAGAGGGGATAGGAGAGAGTGGCAATCACATCCACAGCACCAAGTGTTCACAACATGGAGATTAAGTGTGTGAACGGAGGAATAGTTCATCTTTACGCTCCCAACCCAAACTCACTGCTGTCTAGTCAAAGCTGACCCATAGGGACTCCCTGAGTCTTCCAAGACTGTTACTGTTTGCAGGAGTAGACAGCCCGGTCTTTCTTCCACGGAGCTGCTGGTGGTTCTGGGCAGTCGGCCATGTGGACCGCAGACCATCTGGGACTGATCTGTAAAGTGACTAACCCTATGCTTTTCTATTGGGAACTTGCATTTGATACGTAATTTTGAATTATTAAATTAAATGGTTATTGTGAATCAAACAATGTTAATTTATTTAAATCTTTTCAGATTACTAATCTAGGGAAGACTAGATATGAAGTTCCTCATCAGCATGTAAAAAGTTTTGCTGGCCCTGCAGCTTCTGACACATTATATGAAGTATCAGTTAAAGAAACACCGTTTAGCATACAAGTTATTAGAAAAAGCAATAAGAAAGTTTTGTAAGTAGCTACTTTACATTTCTACCACTTTAACTAGATGCTTTAGTATCTAAATGGAAAAGCCTTAATGTCAAGGTATATTCAGAAAGAATGAAGGACTAAAAGCTACTTTAAAAGTGTGAGTATGTATCCTTGTATAGACTATCATCGTAAACTAATTTTGTTTCTTGTGGATGTGAAGTGCTAGAAAGTGAATGAGAATATACCGATAGAGACTGAAAATAATAGAGTAATATAAATATGTTGACAGCCAGTTTTGAATTTTTCTTTTCTCTTTTAATTTATTAGTGCTATAACTGAGATTTAATAAAATCCATTTACATACAAGGCATTCACACACACACATACACTTATACATACACATACATTATTCTGTATTATAAAATCTTTGCATTATCTTAAATTGACAGTTTCTATAGATTAAACTATATTTGGATTATGACTGTAAAGTCAATAAGGATGAAAATTGTTTTAAAGGAAAATGTTTGCCTATTAAAATGTCAGTAAATGTCTAATTAAATTTACTCTTCCAAAATGAGGGTGAAAATATACTAAGGTCTATGCAAACATATTTATTTGCTCTATATAAGGATATGACTCAATTTTATAGTGTGAAATTGTTTGACTCTCTTAGTGATGTTGATTGTTAGACATAGATAGTGGCCTATCTCAATAAAATTTCACTTCAATTTTCAAACATATTTGAGAAATATTCCTAATAATACCTCTAGAATGTATACTTTTAAATGTGAGCAGCTTTTCAATCGTCCTCATGTATCCACACTAAAATATCATTTTTAGCACTTTGAGACTTGATTCTTTCAGCTTAAATTACAACACAAGAAGTTGCACACCTCTCACATCTATCTTGCATGTTGGCGTACCAGGCAGGAAATGAATTCCTTCCTGTGAGCGCCAATATTTATCAAAGCACTTGGCAGTATTAGTTAGAAACTTGATGAACCACTATTTTAATAAAATTCTACCTATGGCTATATTTATGAATATCTAGAAGTTCACTGTTAATATTTTATATCCTACTGTGTTTTCTCCCCATGATTCCATTGATTCTGTGACTAATTTATAGAATTAGTTATGCATTTGTAGAAAAAGTGCCTAATATTTTAAATATTATTCCTAAAATCATTAATATTAAAACCATTTCCTTTTATCTATTAAATTGCATATAGAATGGTTACCTTCATTATGAACATTTTCAGTGTGAGGTGATATTTGTGAAAGGTACTTATTGATTCCCTATGTATATTTTCAAGATAAATACTTTTGCAATTGACAATGTGTTCAATTACATACAATTTAGCTTACATGCTAAATACATTTATTATATATATTTGTTCAGCATAAAATATCCAACTTTTAATAGGAAGTTGGACTGGAAGCTAAAATAATACTGCATTTTATAAATGAATTGTTGAAGCAAGACAAAACAGATCTTGAAGAATGGTGTTGCTTTCTACCAATTTGTAACCTTAGAAAACATGAATTACATTTTTCAATCTGTGTCAATTTTGAAATGTGATTCATATCAGTAGTTATTTAGACTTGTGGTGAAGATTAAAGGTGGGAACGCAAGTGGATAACTGGATTTGTGATGATGAGGCAAATTCTGTTAAGTGTAATTAAATCACTTAAATTTTGGTGTAATTCCTTGTCTCCTAAAACAAGATTAACACCTAAACTATGACTACTTTAAAGTTAAACATTCTGAGTCATCCTTATATAGACCCATATTTGATAGAATATCTTATGTAAGTTGCTAGGTTATTTCTTTATGTATGTAAGTATTTATCTATCTATTTCCCTACCTATTTATTTAATTGTTTAGGTTTGACACGAGTATTGGTCCCCTGGTGTATGCTGATCAATATTTACAGATCTCAACAAGACTTCCAAGTCAATACATGTATGGTATCGGAGAACAAATTCATAAGAGATTTCGCCACGATTTATATTGGAAAACTTGGCCAATCTTTACCAGGGATCAACTTCCTGGTGATGTAAGGAACTACATTTCTTGTTTTAAATAGAATTATTATACAGTGAACCCTCGCCACTTCGCGCTTC